GCTCAAGTATACTACTATTGCAGACGTCTTTCTTTAAAAAAAGAAGAATTATTCTAAATAGTGGAATATTCGAAACCCATCAAATTTTGGGAAGTATATATTTAAAAAATATATTTTAGTTGTTATAATGTAACATAACTATTTATTATATGGTGCAAATAAATAAATATTGATTGTCGGAAATTCGCAAAGTTCTATTTTATTTACTATTTAGTTTGTTTACTATTAATATTGGCTATGAGTACGTGTGCTTGGTTGTATAGTAATTTCCAGCCACTTTTAATCTGTCAATAAGTAACTAACTTCGCAAAAAAATAATTACTAAATTCACTAGACAGTTCGGACTGGGAATAGCCAACCGAGTATACCTAGTTAAGGTCGATTCAGACACATCAGTCACGTCTCGTCATAGTCCTGGCGCCGAACCGAACAATCCGTCATACAAAATATTCTTTAATAGAAATATGGCGCCGGCATTCACATTCATCAGTTGACGAACAGTTTGCCAGCTGTCAGATAGTTGATAGTTCTGTGACCAAACAGGACCAGTTCGGCGCCGAGACTGTGACGGGACTGATATGTCTGAATCGACCTTTACTCAGTTAAATGCATAAAGGCCGGAGATCCAGCTCTTATTTTGAAGTAATCTGTCGAATTACGATCTTACGATATGTAAAAACCCCTGATTTTGACAAGGAAGAAAGACGTGTAACTAAACTTATATTTATATGGATATTTGATCAAATTTGTTGTATAATGTTCGATTTTAATTAGTAAATCTTCATGATTATTGTTTTACGTTATACCGATAACATTCATAATATTTTGTCGTCATTTCTGTCAGATAAACTAATATCTAATGGTTCTTTCACATTGTAAGATAAATATTATGGATTAAAGAATTTCATAAATAACAATTTAATTCAATTAACATTTGGTCCCAGTGAAGATAGCCTCAAATGAGCTGTCAATTAAGTTTCACAGAACGAAATATTGCATAGGCAGTGTTGCCATGTCCTTTTAATGTCTTTTTAATATATATGTTATATACTTCAGAAACCAAGAAAGAAAGCTTGTAAAACGTACATTGTTATTATATTATTTTATGGATTCTGCAACGTCATAACTTATATAAAACACGAATGAATTAACATTTGTTTTTTTTATACTAATTGTACTTAAATTTGTTAATTATTAGAACATTTTTTGACAATTACCCTTTGATAGGTTAACGGATAAATTTGGCAATAGTGTCAGAACCCTTAAACCACTAGTTGCCAGATTGCAATAGATCTCTTTTTAATTTTATTATTTATAAAGACATTTTACTATTTACTTTTAAAAACTGTAGTGTGATAATGAATGTTCTAGAAATAAAAATAATAAGAGGAACCTCTATCTTAATAATCTTAATAAAAAAATCTTAAAAAAATTACATAAACAAAAAAATTAAAACAATATCTTTATATCTAATAAAAAAACTATCACTAGCATATCAAAATTAAATAAACACAATGTCTGAATTTAATTTTACCTACATAATGTCAAAAGAAAAATAAATTTTAATTTCTAATAAAACTGTACTAGTCAGCTTAATCCTAATATGTGAATATCATCCGCTTTGTACAAATACCACAATATATTGCTAATAAATTGTTTAGCGATATACTGTGCCACAATACCTCAATTTTATTGTCATTTTAATAAACATGAAACCCGCCAATTTTTAAATTGGGACCCACCCATCAACCAATCACGCAAAGTTAGGGAGCGCATTATAATGTAATCTCAACAATATTTCGTTCTGTCAAACTCATTTTATGCTATCTTCACTGGGACCAAATGTGAAAAATGTCCAATGGACCGTTTTACTCTTATCTTATTTTAATTTTTAATCTAGGATTATCTATATAAGTAATAATAGTCATTTATAGGTTACTTATATTATACAAAACAAAAATATTTAATGTCATTACTCTTTGTAATACAATACTAGACAAAGACAAGAGAAATAAGATTGCTTCAAACAATAACTTAAATTGCCAATTTGTCTCCTATTATCTAATAATTAAAAATATATTAGCATATTTCCTCCATTAGTTTTCTTTTATAAGGAGTTTTCAGGAGCGGCGTGTCACTGTATAGAGATTAGAATTATCTTCGAATCGAGCGAAAGCGGCAAAAGTATTTAACAATAAACAATGGGACTATTTTGTCTCTCTTCGTCACTATCGTTTTACGTAATGTTAATGTGTAGACGTGCCTAAATAAACTCAGTCAGGAAGTAACGTATTATTTAAAGATGGTGCCATTTTTTTTAGATAGAACGGGTTTAGTTAGAGAAATCAAATTAAATTATCGTTATAGCTATGGAATATAATAATATTTTTTATTAAAAGATGAATGATTCTCGATGGTTGTTATATTGTAAAAATACAATGCAAAACATAGACACATAGAAGAGAAATTATAGATTTCTACAGGGTGTTTCAAAAAAAGGTATCCCCGTCTCTAGGGTAGGTAAAAAACTGAAAAATACTTGGGGTTTGCTTAGTCAAAAATTTTTGTAACGCCATCCATTTCAAGATACAGGGCGTTGAAGAAAAAAAAAATTACGCATTTTTTACGATTTTGCCGAAACTATTAGCAACATTGTAATGAAATTTTATACGAATAAGTTTTGGAAGCTGATACATCCCATGAATTTGTTTTTATATCTGATTCTCATAGAGGGCGCTAGTTACACGGATCGTACTAAGTATTAGTCAATATAACTTTTTTAAGAGTGTAAGTATTAATCAAAATTTCAAGTAAACTTATAAACATCATTTAATTTTACACTAAAAAGGTACTTTTGGTAAAACTCGATACTGTGTACCGTTTTCGGAATATTTTGATTTGAAAATTATGGAGTAATAATTGATGCTGGTATAAAATAGTGAGAAATTAAACAAAACTCACAAGAAGAAAATTAAATTAATGACTAAGAACTTAAAATAAAATTCAATTACAGTAAGTGTTCACAATGCCCTCCGTTTTCGCGAATACACATGTCTATTCTTTTTTCTAAAGATTCCATTAACCTTCTAAACAGTAGGGGATCAGCTATGATGTCATTAAATTGACGTTGAATTCTTTCTTCCAATTCTTGGCGTGAATTTACCTCTGTAGCATAGACTTTTCCTTAATATACGACCAAACTGCGTAGTCCAAAGGGTTAAAATCGCATGACCGAGGAGGCCAATGAATCGGAGCTTCTGCACCTCTACCAATCCATCGATTCGGAAAATGATTACCCAATAAATTACGACACCTTCTATCAAAGTGTGGTGGAACTCCATCGTGCATAAAAAATTAAGATCGTTAGCGTGCTCGTTTAGCGTTAAATCTTCTAATATCTCGAATAAGGAATTGTTTAAAGAATCAAGATATCACCATATCACCATTTAATTTTCCAGGTAGAATATAATAACCTATTAATTTGTTACCTAAAGTTGCTGCCCAAACATTAACTTTAAATGAGTGTTGGTAATGTGATACCCTTTTGACTCGTGGATTCTCGTCACACCAGTAGTGTGCATTATGGGAGTTAAACATACCTTGTCGCGTAAAGGTGGCCTCGTCCACTCTAATCGGTAGATCATCTGGCAAGAGCTCTTGGACTTGTCTTTAATGATAAGAATGTAATTGCTGTTCTTTCACTATCCGCCAAGTACTTGAACAAGAAGTATTTGTTTGTCTTGCTATATTCCTTACGCTATACTGTTGGATTTTGATCAAATAAATTTAAAATATTATTTTCTTTATTAATTTTTTTTGTTGTTCTTGGTCTACCAGAATTTATTTTATTTGGTCTCACATTCCCAGTTTCTCGACAACGTCGTTCAACGGCTCTAAATGTTTTTTTACTTGGTAAGTTTCTTCTAGGAAACTTTTCTGCATAACGTGTCACAGCTGCACTAGAACATCCTAAACATTCGCCTAAGGTTAATAACATGTCAGTGTATTCAAAATTTGAGTACATTTTGATTTGATTTTACAAATAACAAGATTTCAAAACTCTAATTATTGTTGATTTATCGTAATAACAATCAATAAATGTTAGATTTCCACGGCACACTTGGAGAAAATAGAGGTATACCTATTAGAACTTATCATTACTACCAGCATCAATTATTACTTCATAATTTTCAAATCAAAATATTCCGAAAACGGTACACAGTATCGAGTTTTACCAAGAGTACCTTTTTCGTTTAAAATTGAATGATGTTTAAGTTTACTTGAAATTTTGATTAAAAATTATACTCTTAAAAAAGTAATATTGACTGATACTTACTACGATCCGTGTAACTAGCGCCCTCTATGAGAATCAGATATAAAAACAAATTCATGGGATGTATCAGCTTCCAAAACATATTCGTATAAAATTTCATTACAATGTTGCCAGTAGTTTCGGCAAAATCGTAAAAAATGCGTAATTTTTTTTTTCTTCAACGCCCTGAATCTTGAAACGGATGGCGTTACAAAAATTTTTTGCTAAGCAAACCCCAATTATTTTTCAGTTTTTTACCTACCCTAGAGACGGGGTTACCTTTTTGTGAAACACCCTGTATATACAAAATAACATGATTAGGGTAGAGACTCTGGTTATGGCCACCATCAGCAATTTCTTTTATTGTAATAAATAAATCACTAAACAAATTTTAAAATTAAACGATAAAAAAATTTCTATACTTATTGGTAAGTCTTATCAATCAACCTTTAAATTTTCAGCCTGTTAAATATAAACCATTTTAAGAAAAAAAAATATTAAAAACAAAATGGAAACTTTTGCCACATATGACCACAAAGCACCCACTTATAGCCATCACTTTTCCCTATTTATGGCCACTAAAAAGTTAATCATTATCCATAAAAGAATAACAAAATAACCGTTTATTGCATCATTGTTTTATATTTTAATTATTAGCTTAATATGAAATAAAGTCATTGTTTTTTTTTTAATAGGTATGAAACATGATTTTTTTCTCGTGTATATCCAGCTTAATTGGAAAAACTATCTTCAATATTCTTTCGTCTTGAATAATTTGTGGATCTGGTAGTTTACTGACAATATCAATTTTGTTGATGACAGATATGTCAGTGTGCATAAGTTTAAAATTTAACTTACCTTCATCCAAACTCAGCAAACCTTGAATTTCGTATTCATTCTCGGAAAAGATGTGAATGATTTTGCTAACATATTTGAAAGTAACAGTCACTCTCTTGCTGATTGATTCAAATGATGCCAAAATATAATCACCAGGACTTAATTCAACATGTTTGTCATCTTCAGTATATATAATCGATGGTATCTTTATTTTCAGTATCATTATCGATGCTATTATCTATATTTTGAATATCATTGTCATAATATTTTTATTTACATCATCAATGTCATCTATGCTACTTCCACTTTCCATCCATTCTTCCTTCTCCCTCTTCTTCTTCTTCTGAGCTAGACGTAACAATTTTTTTTGACTTTTCATGTTTAGTCTTCTTGTTTTGTTTGTCCTTTTTTAGTTCTCGTTCCCTTTTCCGTTGTTCTTTTAATTTTAACTGTTATAATTTTACTTGTTCTTTTCATATTCATAATAAAGCACCCATTTGTCAGATGTTATGACACTTAGAGTGTACTATTTTTTTTTCAGACGTAGGATTTTGACTTGGCCATGGAACAATGTCATTAAATATGGTTGCTAAATTTTTGTTGGGTATCTCAATGATATTTGATCTTGAGGGATGGACATCAATCTCATGATGAGGTGAATTATTGTAGCATATTGAATGATCCACTATATTTGATAAAGATTTTTTTTTTCGACAGTATTTGCTTCAGGTTTTAAGGGTATTGAGGTGTTATGGGTTGATTCAAGATTAAATGTGTCGGTACACTCACATTTCGAATGCTTCTAGTTTTCTCTGTTGGCGTCCGGGCCTCCACACCATATAGTAAGATCGGAAAAATTTAGCTTTTAACTAGACGTAGTTTTAGGGGAAGAGACAAATCCTTGCTTATGAGGAGCTTTTTCATATTGTTAAATGCTGGTCTAGCTCGTTCTATTCTCGCCTTAATTTTTGTGGCCTGTTCCCATTTTGCATTTACATTGGTGCTAAGGTACACATAAGATGCTACATGGTCAATTAGTATGTTTCTTATCCGTAATTGTCGAGCAGGTTGTTGCTTTTTGCTTATTAGCATCCACTTTGTCTTCTTGAAGTTGAGGCTCAGGCCGTATTCCTCACTAACTGAATAAACTCTTTCCATTACCTGTTGTAATTCGTGTATGGTATTAGCAAGGATCACCGTGTCGTCGGCATATCTTATATTGTTCGTTAACTCGCCGTCTATTTTTATGCCCTCATTTGCATTTTCCATACATTTGGTAAATATTTCATAGAATAAATATTGAATAGGAGTGGGGATAAGATACATCCCTGACGAATACCTCTTTAGATCTGTACACTTCCAGTGAGTTCGTTGCCAATTTTGCTCTTGCTATTTGACCCCAGTATAGGTTTGCCACAATTCGAAGGGACATCTTCTTTAAGGGACCAACAAGTTCCACATCAAGTGGTTATAAAATATGTGTGGAATTAGGATAAAGTAAGATGAGTATAAGCTTATTTTCAAGACAGAATCAACTTAGCTCTAGAGTAAGATGTGAACGATTACCATCTAGGAATATTATTTCCGGAAAAGATATAGATTTTTCTTTTAAAAAAGGGAGAAACACGTTAGCGATATACCCGAAAAAACTCTCTGAAGTTATCTAGCCATTTTCTGTTTTGCTGCCAATATCCCAATTAGTTGGTGCGGCTGCAGTCAATGATGCTGGAATTCGTGCATATTTATATGGAGTCAGTGATGGAGCAAATTGTCCTAATGCATTTACTACAAACAAAGTGGTGACGTTTTCTTTGTCAGAATTTGTAGATTCATTGTAAACATTTTGCCCTCGAGGTCCAATGATAAGTCCTCCTTTGGGTGCCAGGAAAAAATATGTCTTACCCATGTTAAATACTCGTTCGGGAAACTATAATATTTCAGCATCATTTTCTAATAAAGTTATTACCTTTGAAAACCACTTTCCTAATTTTTTGCTCAGTAAAGGTACCTCTATCTTTATTTAGCTACATATTCGGCGTGTTTAGTAGAAAGTATCGTGTGTCTGTTTAAAAATGCATAAAACCATTTTTTACCTGTTTTATTATTAGTAAATAGAGTTTTCATATTTAATTTATCGACAAGCTTTTTCACTGAATACAGGAGACCTTCCCTATTGATAGGAAAACTATATGAAAACATATTTATGGCCACCAAGATTATAAGCGTTGGAGGTTAATATTATTAGGTTATTTTGCTGAATATTAAAATTAAATCATATAATAGCGCCTCATGCCTATTTATTATTAAAAATAAATATTTCTTAACAAATTAACAGATATGAAGTTTTACAGCAACTAGTCGAGCATTTTACAAATCTGTGTCAAACGAAAAGAGAGGATTCAGACCTAACTGCATGTCTGTACTGAGGAAAAATAATGATGAATTAATAATCAACGAACAAGAATTACTCCAAACATAGCAAGAATATTTCAAAAATTTACTTAATATAATGTATGAATTACATTATGAATTTAAATGTGAATTTAAATGAATACCTCAAATGAATTTAAAGTCACTAAAGGCCTAAAGCAAGGATGCTGTTTGTCACCGACACTCTTTAAAATATACGTCCAAGAAGCATTGAGGAATTGGAGAAATAAATGTAGATTTATGGGCATCGAAGTGGGACAAGAAACTCTGTATACATTGCTGTTTGCAGATGATCAGGTGGTGGTTGCAACCGATGAGGAAGATATAAATTATACGAATCGAAAATTATTTGAGGAATATGCCAAATGGGGGCTTACTGTAAACATAAGCAAAACAGAATATTTAAAAATTGGAGGAAATACAACAGATCTGAGGCTTGAAAACGCAGTCATAAAAGGCTGCAACCAGTATAAATATCTAGGAAGCATCATATCAGCAGATGGCAGAGTTAAGATAGATGTACAAAACCGAATAACCCAAGGGAAAAAATGCATCCGAATACTGAATTCATTACTGTGGTCTAATAAAATAAAGATGCATACCAAACTTCGCGTATACAGAGCAATTGTAGAACCAATTACCACATATGGTGCCGAATGTTGGACGATGACAAAGAATGAACGAGATATAGTAGAACGTTGTGGAAATGGATTATCTTAGAAGGTCATGTCGAGTATCGAGAATGGAAAGAACCAGGAATGAGGAAATACGAAACCGTACAGGAATTAGAGATACTCTTTCAGATAGAATACAAGGAAGGCAATTACAATGGTATGGTCACGTGATGAGAATGGAGGAGGAGCGGTGGCCAAAGAAAGCCTTAATGTATGTTCCGCCAGAAAGAAGGAAAAGGGGAAGACCACCAAATTCCTGGAGAAGAGAAATTACAAAAGCAATGCAATCTAGAGGCTTAGAAGAGGGAGATTGGAGAGATAGGAAAAGATGGAGGCTGAAATGCGGGAAGCGGCAATCGCCGTAGGACCCCCGTTATATGATGATGATGATACTTAATATACACCAAGATGAAGAACATGGAGAGGATATATACCTTGGGGTGGACCTACCGATAGAGTACCCAAAAATAGACGAAACATTGCAAGCAATTAACAAATTAAAGAACGCAAAAGCTCCAGGCTCTGACAATATACCAGCCGAATTTCTTAAGTACGAAGGAGAAACTTTACATAGACAATTACACAAACTAATAACACTTATATGGAACGAAGAGAAAATACCAACAAAATGGCACGAAAGTGTAGTAATTCCTATCCATAAAAAGGGAGACAAAACCAAGTGCTCTAACTATAGAGGCATCTCCGTACTTAATACGGCGTAAAAAATCTTATCGAACATCCTATTAAGTAGACTAACACCTTTTGTAGAAAATTTCATAGGGGAATACCAAGCCGGATTCAGAAAAAATAGATCGACCATAGATCAGATTTTTACTCTCAGGCATCTGCTTGAGAAAGGATGGGAATTCAATAGAAATCTCTTCATAGATTCCGACAAGCATACGACAGCATTAAAAGGGATCAGATCAAAGGGATCAGTGGAATGCAATGCAGAACTTTCAGTTCCAAAAAAACTTATCCAGCTCGTTAAAGTTTGTGTAAATGGCTGTATATCTAGAGTGCGGATAGGTAACAAGCTCTCAGAGTCGTTTGAAATAAACAGTGGACTGAAACAAGGAGACGCGCTGTCACCTCTTCTTTTTAATATAATCCTGGAAAAAGTAGTAAAAACCGCACAAATTAGAACAGAACTACTGACAGTAAATTGCCAGAACCAAAATTACTACTAGCATACGCGGATGACATTGACATTGTAGGAAATACCGTCACCAATGTAAAAGAAACCTTCAATAAATTAGAGAGAGAGGCAAAAAATACCGGTCTAAGGGTCAATGAAGAGAAAACCAAATATATGTGCATTAACAGACAAAAGAGACGAGATAGAATAGGACAAAATGTAACAATAGACCCCTATAACTTTGAAAGAGTGGAGAGTTTTAAATATCTCGGAGCGACTATCACCACAGATAACAATATCACGGAAGAGATAAAAGGGAGAATTCAGGCAGCAAACAGATGTATGTATAGCCTCCACAACACTATTAAATCCAAGAGCCTAACACGAACATCAAAAATCAGGATATATAAAACAGTAATTGGACCGGTGCTCATGTATGAGTGTGAGACGTGTACGCTGACAAAAGCAATGGAAAGTAAACTCAGATGCTTTGAGAGAAAAATCCTAAGAAAGATCTTCGGTCCCTATCACGATCCGAATACTAACCAATACCGAATGAGAACAAATGCCGAGGTTAAACAAATGTATAGTGCTAGCGACGTAGTCCAAGAGATTAAATCCCAACGTCTAAGATGGGCTGGCCATGTTCATAGGCGTCCTAATAACCGCCTTACCAAGTTAATCTGGGAAGAAGTCCCGACAGGGAGAAGGCCCTTAGGACGTCCACGAATGCGATGGAGAGATAATATATGGTCAGATTTGAGAACAATGGGGCTACCCACTGACTTAAACATCATGGACGACCGCTCGAGATGGAAGCAGGTTGTGCAGTCAGCCAAGACCCACCACGGGTTGTAGTGCTACCAGAAGAAGAAGAAGAAGAAGAAGTTTTACAGCAAATGTGTTTGTAGATTATTGTAATACCTTAAGGAATCGATATTACCTAATTAGAGTTTAATAATAGAAATAAATATATCAGGT